CTGAATAAGCCATCTACTCCAGGAGTCCGAAGTAGGATTTTTCGGAGACAGAATTCAATTAAACTGCTTTAATTTACCTCAAGAATAAGTGAATTAAGTCCTTCTGTTATTCCACTCAGGATATACTCAGTGAAATTTCCTATAAAACAGCACATAGGCTGCTTTCTTCCTTGTTATGTTTCCTCATCTGTAGTTTAAGTAATTTATATTATTTTTTCACTAATAAGCAGATTCATCAAAAATATGTTGACAAGTAATTTTAATTAGAATAACAGGGTTTTTTTTAATTAAACCTTTCTCTCCACTCCATTTTAACCCTTTTAATGTAAGAACCAAACACTTTAAAAGCTTAATCATAATAAACATGTCATGTAAACAACAATCACATCACCACTATCCAAAAACAAAAATAAAATTCTTATGACATACTATGTAAATGCACAGTAGGTTTTAAAGCAGAAAAGAGCTAAAGAAGTTAAGTACCTGGCTGCTTGGTGTAACTACCTTTGCCCTCCTTCTCCACAATTATTTAATCTTATTTTAAATGAACTCCTCTTTACGTGACTTCACACCTGGGTGTCAGCTTTCAGGAGTACTCAACCAGAAGAGGACACAAGAACTGACACAGTTACTAATCCTAATACTAATGGTATAAACCATTAGTAGCATATTCATTTGAGAAAGAAAAAGGTAGTGCTCATCTTGTTGGTGGGGGGAAAGGCCTTTAGCTCCCATCAAAAGACAACCAGTGAGGTTTGCTGCACCTCAGAGGTGACACATCTCAAAGATGTGTCATGGCACGTCCCAAAGAAACACCATAAACCTCCGGCATCCTTGACACAACACCTCTGCTGTACTGCGCGAACCTCCCACGCCTATCCCCCAGCAAATTGTACAGCTAATACCAGCACTGTGAGGAAAGAACCAGCATGAAGTGACAGGGAAACACGGCCGGATGTCCCTGCAGCAGCTGCTGGGAGAGCCCAGCCCGGCTGCCCTCGCCCCGAGCAGGGAGGGTCACACAGCGGGCAGTAAAGCCTGGCATTAACCACACCGCAGGACCCCAGGGTAGGAAAGCTTGGAGTACTCACTAGCTCCCGGCCGGCCTGGAGAGAATTTCTCAGCTCCATCTGGTGGGCAAATAAGCCACTTCTGGCTCACAAACAGCCATTCCCTTTTTAATACTTCACAGGTCCCAGACACTACTGAAACTACAGCCCCAAAGAACAGTCACCTCTCCTGAGAGCCTGAGTACCCTGGTGACAGCAATCACGAAGCAATTCATGAAGAGCTCCTGGGCAGAAATGGAGCAAACACAGCACCTGCAAGAGAATTCTCTGCTGTTACTACTGAGCACAGCCACGACAGCCACTGGGTTTGCTTCCTGTGCTCATTACCCAGGGATGTGGCTCTGCTTGGAAGAGTGGAAGGAGTTATAAATTGCCCTCCCACTGTGCATGTTTCCTCAATAAAGACCTTACCTAGCTCTTCCCCAGCAAGATGGATGAGAAGTAAATTAACTACAATAGGAGCTCATGACAAAGAATTCAGCAACTCCTTGAATTTGCCCTTGCCCACACATTTCAAAAAAAATATACTATTTACATAGGAAAAAGACCCAGTGAAAAACAGGAGGTTATAATACATGGCTGCATTTAAATTCATGATGGATTTCATTTGTTCATCTCACTGACAGGCTTTGGAATAATTCTTCATCTTCTGTTGTCAGATTTTTTTATACTTGAGAAACAGTAGAGGTCTAACAATTGAACTAAGGAGCAAGACAGCCCCAGCTATTTTGTCTATGCACCCCAGCTAATGACAGAAGCAAAAAGAAAATATTTAGTTAATTTTGTCTGCAAGCTGGATGAAAACCAACAGCATTAATAACCCTCTTTAAGACAGACATATGGACCAAAGCCTAAGATCACATCTATGTAATTGTGATTACAATAGGTTTCTAGTCACTGAAATATGTGGCCCAGTTTAACAAGATCCCTGCTGTCACTATTTTTTTGCTGAAGTTAAAGCAATAAATAGTTCTGCACTCTCAATTTCTGGTTTAAGGAAGAAACAATCCTAATGGTATTGCTATGGCCTTTCCAACATCAGAGTTCCTTTCTGTCATTATCCTTTTTATTACATTTGAGTTAATATATTACAAGACAAAAATATTTCTCCAGGTCACAAGCATACATTTTCAATAGCAACTGTATTTGATTACATTTAATAATATCAACTTATTTCATTCAGAGCTGAGTAAAAATGGTTTCCTATCAAGCAAATCTACTCCTTCTTAAGCTACATGTAGTAGTTATCATGACTGAAATGCAATTTTTTTAATTCCGGAAGATGCAGACTTAGCTCATCTTAAACTTGTCACAGCAAATCATTTTGCAGAGATGTCCTTTTTGCACAGGTGATGGGGTAGCAGAGCCACAAAGAGATGAAGCAATTCACCTCTGGAGGTGAAAATAGGAACACAGGCCTTCTGATAGACTTCTGATGCAGTACCATACCCCACAATGTGAATATAAATCCATCATGTACTCTATTGCTAAAGCTGCTTGCTATGTAAAAGCTTCTCAGTTTGCAAAGGTTTCTACTGGCAGCTCTGAAAAAAAGAACAGATTCTGTTTAAATTCAGCTACAATTTCTGCTTGAGCTCACATGGTGGACACCCTTCTGGAAAAGCAGGGCTGTGCCTCTCACTTGCTCATTAAATGACATGCAGCTGTTTATTATCCACAGTATCTGTGTTCCTCAGAGGACAAAAACTGCCTAACTATGCAGATATGAACTCATACGTGAACAGCAGTGATGAGTCAAATCATGAAATTTTACTTGTCTAACCTAATTGAATCTACCCTAGACAGTAATAACACTAAAGAAAAAAAAGGAATTTCACAGCCTCTGTTCCCTTTTTCATAAAAAACTCAGCTCTGACTGTAATACACCAGAGCAATATTTGAATGCTACAGTGCACAGATGCAGTCACACAGAAAATTAGAACTCTCCAAATTAAAAAAAAAAAAAAAAAAAAAAAAAAAAAAAAAAAAAAGAAGCTGTAGTACATAGCTGCATCAGTACCAGCTCAAGAGTGGAAAAGTACTTTGTCTGCTTAGCCCCTTTCTACTCTGTTGGTGACGTCAACCAGGCACTAATGAAAGCCCAATTAGCATATCACCTTGTGTGTTTGAATGTACAATTGGAGCAGCTGATGATTCTCTTCTGAGATTTTAAATAACCACCAAAGCTGAGCCAGAGCTGCTGCTTGGTAGGGAAGATTTAGCTTCACAACATTCCCAGATCCCTGTGCAACACAAACAAATGTGCCAATGCCGGAAAAAACCCCAACCCAGAGCAGATGCATTTCTCTGAGGAAAGCAACACAAAGCAGCTCCAATTTTGAACAGCATTCATTTAGCCCTCATTGTAGAAAAAAGGCTGTAATTCCTAACTGAGTTTGAAAACTGCATTAACTATTTGCTCCCAAAAACCAAGGTACATACCTTGGTGAGTTTCAGGAAAGCAGCACTCTTGTCAATGCCCCGCCAACTTTCCAATTGACAGTGACTAAAGAACAAACAGCCATGGGACAGAAAGTGCATCCTTCTGCTCTAAAACATGCTGCAATCAGCCAACATAGAAAAGAAAGGGAATTTGCAGACCATTCAACTTCAGACACTGACTGGACCCCCTGCTGGGGAGGGTTCTATGATTTCAGGGCTCTGTGGTCCTTATTTAGCCACCAGCGTCCAAGGGAGGACAACAATGGATGGCTCTCATCCCATCCTCCTCACCTGAACACCTGCACCAGCTGTTTGTTCCATAAGCACAGATGTGAGTGCTGCCATCCAAGGAGCCACAAGTCACTCTCAGCACAGCAAGGCACCAACTGGCACAGGATTTCAAATGGCCAAATTGAATAGCAGGGGTGGAGATGAGACATGAGGTCAAAGAGAAACCCATTGAAGCACTGCAGTATTGACAGAAAGGAGTGAAAAAAAGAAAGGCCTAAGTCTATAGCAAGAACTTGCCTATTAAACTTCCTGTACAGGGGCTGAAAGCAGGACCAGAGGCTCCTGACAGACCTTAGAGAAACCCTGAAGGGCACCACTGTTTTGCAGAATTTGAGGGCTAGAAACTGAAAACTGTCTCTGTCAATCCAACAGCAATGACAGGGAAGTGCAGTGCTCTGAGCAAGAAATTGACCCTGACCTAGATAAAGACTATCTAAAAGAAACAGGAATTCAAGCCCAGGATGACTTCCCTGGAGTCTCTGCTGAAGTGCAAGATTAGTTATGAGGTTCAACTGGATTGGTAAAGTGCTGGTGTTGATCATTCTGCCTAAATGGACAGAAATCAAACCCCAAGCACAACAAATACACCAAGAGCAACCTCTCAATTCCCATACAGCCCAAAGAGCTTCTGCCCACTCCCTACTCCCTTTAAATACCAAGCCTTCCTGTCTGACCATGGCAGTCACAGGACACAAAACAGTCTGTGACCATCAGAGAATGCCTCACAAGCAGACAGAACCACAACAGATTTAAAAGGGCACTGTTAAATGAGAACATGTCCTTGAGTGATTTTCAGCCTCAAAACCATCCTCTTACTCCTAGCTGATTAGATTAACGTGTCCCAGGTTTTGCACAAAAAAGGCAAAACGCTAACAAGTCAAACAGATAAATAATACTGCATTTAAGCCGTTATTAAACATGGCTACAGTGTATAAAGATGTAATTAAAGCTTGGGCTTTGATTTGGCAAGCATCCTCTATAAATAATCTGTGTTTCACTGTTCTTTGTCATCAGTTCTTCTTCAAACTCAAGAGATGTCCTTCAGTTTCTCCCCCACCCTTGGGATTATCATATGTTTTATAGCTCTGCAAACCTTAGAACGGCCAAACACTGCAGCTGTAGATGAAAGGGAATTATCTTCAAGGTGCTTTCTCTCAGCAGCATCCTCATTTTCTTGCCTGGGGTGGGGAGACTCACCAGAGAGCCAGGATGAGAGAGCAGGGCCCCATTCCAGAGTGCAGAATAAGAACAGACTTGATATCACAGCTCCTTCCAAGTGGTGATCTATGGGAAAAGGAGACAGTATTGAAAAACTTTAACACCGGAGTGAGCTACTTCTTGCCAAATTATGTATTTTATCTTATCATTTCTCATGGGAGATATTATTTTGCTAATTATGTCTAATGATTTTTTATGGTAGAAATTTTCCAAAAGTTTTTGCATTCATTCTCACAGCACTAAAAAGAAACTGTCATGTTGATCTAAGCCCATATTTAACCTTTGTAGTAAAGAGAGAGGCCACAAACAGGCTGTGATTTAAAAAATCCATACTTTGACAGAAATAAGTTTTATTTTCTGTTCTGCAAAAACCTAAATTTTGTTTTGTCTGAAAACTTCCTTTTGTTATATCATAAATTAAAGGAGACCAGAAATATGAGTGGAGCTGGCCCCATTTAGCATTCAATAAACTCAGTAAACAGCAGAACTTAGGAAAAGGAACACCAGATGCATAAACAACATAAAGCAGAATTGACATCTAATGGCATTTATTTCAATACTTGGAATAGCATCTGAGATCAGCATTTTTAAACAATCGCTCTATGAACTAGAACACAGGAGTGTTTTTGATAAGTTGGCAAATCAATTCTGACAAAGGGATATTTGAAGTGCAGCAATCCCAACTGGATTTGATCTTTGGAAGTTTTCTTCCCAGTCTTACAAACTCAAAATCCCCCAGAAATACCTAGACAAGATCAAAAACAAGAGCAGTAACACAACCAAGACAAGCACCATGAGATCTGCTACCCAGAGCGATTTAGAGACACTGGATGTAAGAGATTTAAAGGTGCTCTTGTCCATTTTCAGGCCATTAACAACACCTGCACGGAGTGGCAGTGAACTGCTACCACGTCCAAAGGCACGGGTTTATATTCCTTATGCATCAGCAGATCCAACTAAACTTCCAAAATGTCCCTAATGTGCTCTGCAAAAACACACAGCCAGCTATACCCTCCCTTTTTCTAGAGGAAACAGAATTTAAATGCAGTACAGTCAGCAGTTTCATCCGAGTAGAATGAAAGGAGAACTGAGCTTTCTCTTTCAAAATTGACAAAGTGATTTGCAAGCTGTAATGGAGAGTTCCTGCTTCCCCTTCCTGGGGGCTGGATAATGCATCTGCACAGGGAGTATCTGGGAAACTAGAAGTATCCACTTCTCAAAGACTGCTACTTGAAATGACTAATCTGAACCAACATAACTCCACAATTGATTCTTTCTTTGCTTCCAGTGGTTACCCTTATCGACTTACAGTGCACTACATTTCTAAAAATCATAGGTTTCTTTGTTTGCTTCCAGAAAAAACACTTATTTTAGATAATCTTGCCTCCACAAAGTTATTTTTCAATTTTCTTCAGTCCCTGCTGTGCCTTCAGGAATGTCTGATTACTCATAAAATGCCTTCTGACAGCTCAGATTCATTACTAAATTACCACATTTAAATTTTTCATGTGCACAGGGCAATTACTTTTATGAATGACTGTCAGCAATGTTTCACTAAATCTGAATGAATTTTTAAAGGATTCTAATTGCCACTTAGATGCCCCTATAACTCTTGTTTAAAAGGCTTTCATGTCTTTTGGTCATAGCTACCTGTGTTCAACACAAACATGTTCCCTCTCACATTTTGCATCATTGAAAATTATTTACATCAGAAACAAAAAAATATGAAGCTGGTGGTGCTACATAAGCAGATAGACTGCACAGCAGAAATGATTCATAGCCAAAGTCTTGAGAACGAATAATTATCTGTAACCCTCACTCGGAGCTCTTGCGTCAAGTTACATTATACATTTGGGTTTTGGCAGGAGAAATTAATGAATTCCAACTTGACGGACACCTTAAAAAATTATAAATTTTTCAAGCAGTTGGGCCAAACTAAACCTTTAATATGTCCAGGGGGAAAAAAATAGAAGTACACAGGGAACAGGTTTTTTCCCACTGAAATTCATTTTAAAAAGCACAGATACAAATATGTATTCAGAAAGGGCAGGTGAGTTTTAAATTACACCACTAAGATGGGCTGGAGTTCTGACTTGTCTCCCAGTGGAGTGTCATCAGGAAATTTCATTAGCACAATCTATTTTTTATGCCAAGGTTGCTAATGAAAGTGATAAACAAGATCAGAAATAAACTGATCATTGATGTAGTCCTCCCCCAACAAACTCCAACTAGATGTTTCTCTTTCAAGTGCCACATTTTGTGCATGTTCTTCACCCAACTGCTTGCCCACTTTGGAGATTTTTCTATTTTCCTTTTCATTTTCACTGTTCACTATCAGTTTGTAGAGAGGCATCAAAAGAAACATTCCTATGAAAACCTTTTGGATTAATGCTTCTTTAATTCTTTTATCTAGAAAGTCTAAGATCAGGATAACAAGAAAGAAACAGAAAAGGATATCTACCATGTCTTTTTGTGCACAAGGAATGAAGTTTTTACCACTGAGGTAAAAGGGAGATACTAAAAGAACGTCCCATCGATACAGTGATGTTGAATAAATTATATGTGAAGCAAATACCCCATTAAAATCTAAGATTCTCTGATTACTTTGCTGGTTTTCTCATTGGCTGACTGCAGAAATGTGCATAACCCAGTGAAGTTCATCTCTGCCCCCTTTTTCAGTGGAGAAGGGAGGGTGGGAAACATGTGGCGAGCCTACTTCTGTAAAGATTTTGAAATCTTCTGATGAATGTGCTGAAAGCCATTTTTAGGCAATATTAATCTTCTGCAACAGCAAACCTATTTCACTGTGACCTTCAACAAAGGCCAGAGCCTGAGGGATGGTTGCCAGCAGCAAGTTACCATTCAATATTCAACCTTGCATAGGATCCAAAAGGGATTTTCATCTGCATCTAAACTCTAATTAGCAGCTCTCAAAGCTGTGTTTGATAACTTTATTCCAACAGTCAATAACAGCCCTTAATACTTGCCCGTATTACTGTCCAAAATACACAGCTATGGATGAAGAATTGCTTGAAAAAGGTGAGTCCAGCAAAAGCTGCCACCTGCAACAAATATTCCATTGAATCACAGAGGCAAGGACAGGTCAAACTGGGCTGAAGCTGAGCCAAGGGAGCAGTAAACTGCCAATGTTATTCCCTGGCTCCCAGTGCCCCCACTGACCTAAGCAGCTTAATGAATCCTGGTCTTCTGATCAGATGCAATACAGCTGAGCTGGGCTCTGCCTTCAGCCTTACTGGCATGCTTAGATATAGGGAAATGATAATTAAGTGTTGTGATGTAAAAGAATTCCAGGTTGCTAAGAAAACTGCCTATGTACCCGAAGAGTTGGGTTTTTCCCTCATACAATCCTACCCTAAAAACTGAAAGGGTTAGAAGAAGCTACCTCAACACATTCTCTTGCCTTCTCTCTTCTCTGGCTTCTCACTTTAAATTCCTGCCAGATGAGTCATGCCGAATGTCTCTCCAAAAACTTTGAGGGTTCAGTCCCACTTACTCTGAGAAAAGAGGTTTTATTACAAAGAACACCATTTATACCAATTAACGCCTTGATAACCATCATAACAGAAAATTAATTCCACAGATTTTGCTAGGTTTTCCCAATTACAATGGTAACTATTTGAAAAAGAAGATGCTGCTCCCTTTGAACCGTCAATCACATTGCCCAGACATTAAAATTAACTGCACACATTTATTTCTAAAAATCATTACAGTGACAGGAACAAGTGCCAAACCTGAATGGTGCCTGTCCTCATTCTGTGAGGGGACCACTTCTTCCCCACTACACATGGAGTGTAGCACACTGTCCTTGGCACAACAGTAAACAAGAACCAGCAGTGAATACTGGGGTTTATTTAGGAGCTTTTACCCAGCCTGATTACCTCATATGCATTCACTTGCTCTCCTCCAAGCTTTACAGGTTCACTAAGAGCTGGCTGCCTCTCTCCAGAGGAAGATCATTTCTAGCCTGAGCAAGGTAGGTAGAAAGTTCTTTCTGTTCTTGCAATGCAGCTGTTTGCAGCCACCAGCCTCGGGCACGGCCGGCCAGGGTCTCTGCACACCCCCAAGTATTTGTCTCCATGCAGCTCACTGATTTCCAGGATCTACGCACATGTCCAAGATCTGTGCTCCAGCCAGAATCTCCACCACTGTCTTTTCATGTAACCTTCTTTTCATGATCACTTCTTTTTGGGAAGCCATCTTTCTGTCTTCCTCTTCTTTCCAGCACCAAAGCCTGTGTTCCTCCCAGCCTGAGCCAGGACACAGTGTAAGGCAGAAGCACAACACCTGATCAGCCTCCTGGTTGTTGGTTCTTTCTCAGGCCTGCTTATTAATTGTAGAGTTTGGGTTGTTAACTGGAGGGTTTGGGATGAGCCGCTACATTTTAGCCTGCGTACTATCAGAATTTACAAATGAGCAATACCAACTTCAGCCAGCAAGCAGCAGGATGCTGCTTCAGAGTTCAAAAGTTCAGTTTCAGACACTCACATACAGGCCCAGTTATCTGCCAGCTGTGTGTGCTCACAGTTCGGGCTATTTCTTCACCTAAGACACAGACAAATATGCTACAGCCATGCTGAGACAAAGTGGAATCTGCAGATCATTTCCACGTAAGAGCCACCTCTCTCAGGGGACCCACATGGTAACTGGATTAGGTCATGTGTCATCCCTTAGTCTCAGTTAACTCAGTTAACTCACACGTGCTCTGGAGACAGTTCAAAAGAAAGCAAATTGCCTTCATCAGTGGCACTGCAGCCCATGGATGGATTTCTCTACTGAGAACAACTGGATCAGGCCCCAGTCTGGGGCTAGCACAGTGTCTGGGTGTTTGTCAGGGCTGCTCCACGTGCAGCCACAGCAAAGCATTGGCAAGGCAGCACAAAACCACAAGCCCTGATTCATTATGATTTTTCATATCTCATTAGGAAAGAAGCAATTAGAAGTGTCATAAGAATATTCCCGAGTGGATTTTAAAAATTTTTTGAAGCTGGCTAAAGCTTTTATTCAACACTGACAATGGTTATTTTGAATACCTCAGAGTAGGGAGA